CAGAGACCCGGTGCGAGTCTGGGCCCGTGGTCGCCCCGCCTCGGCCTGCCCGGCCCCCACCTCCAGCGGCTGGAGTTTGTCGGCTCCGTCCAGGAAACGAAAGGACCCAGGCGCGCTGGTGATTGGCGCGGCACCAGGCAGGGCCCTGCCCGAGCCCCCCACACCCGCTGAAGAGATAGAATGTGGGCATCCCGGAGGCCCGGCGTGGGCCCCTATCTGTGGGTTTCGCCTCACAGACAGGCATCGCCTGTCCCCCGAATTACTGAGCACTTATTCTCAGGGTCACTCCAAAGCTGGGAAACTGGCCCCCCAGAGGCTGGCAGGGACCTCAGAGCTGCCTCTCTGCCTCTCTTGTGATCATTCTATCCACGTTTGCTGGATACTTTTTCCTCCTTTTATCTAATTATGGTTTGAATCTATTCAAAGGAAATACAGCTTCGTGTTAAGCTGGGGTCGGCAGGGGAAAGTCACATCCAGAATGTGACGGAGGAGCTGCACGCTCTGGGCAGAGCTCATCCTTGGCAGAACCAAGTCCCGGGCCCCTCTGACCCTGTGGGTCGCTTTTGCTAGCATCAAGTTTTACTAGGGCAAAACCTTCTCTTATTTTCATCAGCGCTCTTGCTGTACTGCAGTGATGCTAAGTCGAGACTGTAGACAGTGTTTGGACTTTGGAAAGATTTTCAGGAACTGGTAAATTGTAGGGCCACCGTGCCTCTGTACTTGGTATTACTTTCATTGCTAAATTTTATTTTGTGGGGGTGTCTACATGTTTTAAATAGGAGCCTTTCCGCCTCTCTACCACTTGAAAAGTTGGAACACAATTTGTTCACATTTTTTCAAAATCAAACTTTAAACAATTTCCAGAGAAATAACCTGAGTGTTAGCTGCTACTGGATGATACTAAACTGGGGCCTATTAAAATATGTGACACTGTGGTCACACCCTGATTTTGTGGAGAACATATCAAGAAAGCCAATAATTCTATCTGCCCACTCATTAAGCTGAATCTCCATCAGCCTGTTTTTTTTTCTTTATCTTAATCCATCTCTTAAAAAGTATAACTCTTCGGATAAACTAATGCCTGAACCAGGTTCTTAACTAGAAATAAAATTTCATTCACTCAGCAAACACTGATTCAATGTCTAATATATTTTAGACATTGTATATTGACTTCAAAGCTCCTGTGGTTTAGCAGAGAAGAAAACCAAAGAAGCAATTACCTATGAGGCTGTTGCATAATGTATTTAGTTAATAATAAATATGGTGTATATTATAAAACATACATGAATAATGATGTGTTCAGAGAATACCTGTGAAGTTTCACTTTGTCTCTAGCTTTTATCATAACAAGCATTGTGGTAGTAAGATGTCTTCTATGTAAGTCCTTACATATATAGGGGTGCTTTTATTTCTATTGGCGTGATTCTGGTACAAGTGGAGATGGTGCTGAATATATTGGTTTACTCCACTTCCTGATTCTGCGTCTACTTGGTCATACATGATGGTGACAGTCCAGTTTGGTGACTTGTTAAGAATTGGTCCTCGAATTTGAGCTTACTATCAACTTCCTCAGTCTTACAATGCGCTTGGTAGAAAAGACACGCTTTTCTACTTGTACCAGCTAGAGATGATTATATTGTCTACAATTCAAAATGCTCGCTGATGCAATGTGTTTTAAATTTTAATAAAGAGTAATAAGATAGTTTGAATAAAATACTGTTCGTATTCAAGATGATGTCACTCTCTTGTCCTAGGTAGAAAATGGCTTGGGTGGCTTTTCTAGAAAAGATAAAAATTTAGTACAAATCTATTCACTTATTTACTAGGAATTAACATTGTATGTCTCACATTACAACTAGCTCAAACCTGCTCCTTGTTCATCAGTGTTTAGTGGTCAGTGGCCACCCAAGTCCAAGTATTTCCTTCTTCCTCTAGATTGTGAGAACCTCAGAGGAAAATGCCAGCTGTCTCTTGCTCCCTTATGCAACCATGCACTCTGATCTCCACTTGTTTCCTGGCTGCTTTTGGGTACAAAGTAAAGAACCACGTCACTGGTTTTGAAACCATTCACCAATGCCGGCCTTATTCAGCAACCACAGGAAAAAAATCCAAACTTTTTTGGTCACCATGTTTTTTGTATTTTTCCTGAAACCTTTACTTTTGAAAATGATCTTGAAAAGTATAAAAAGCCAGTCAAACAGTGCATCTATTTAAATTATTTATTTTAACACATTATTTCAGGCATTTTAAATGTGCAGCTTGTAACATGTTTCATATCTGGAGAACTACATACAAGGATTATTTGACAACTTTAACAAAAGTGCTTAAGGCTTATTTGTTTCAGAAACAGCAGTCACAAAGAGCCACTAAGTGGTAATATTAATACATTCATACACTTGCTTTTCAAAGTAAAATATTTACATATTTACATTGCATTTAAATGGATACTCTGAACAGTAAACGCTTAACAAGAAGGTCTCTTTAACCCTCTTTAGTTCAACAGAGGATATTATTTTTCAGGGGCTGAATTTCTCAATTTGATTCCCATCCTCATTAGGGCCTAACTGGGCTTTCTTTCTCCACCTTCACTGTAGGTACACATTTGTCTCCTACACAAAGTAGCTTTTATTAGCTTATTAGCCGCCAAAACCTTGTGAGTAGGAGTTAGAGTTTTATTAACATCAATGTACTTACAATGTAAGGGAAGTAAGTTATGTAGAGGGAAATCTCTTAAAACATTAATCTCTTCAAGTCCTATTGTAAATGGACTTTTCAGTCTAGTAGTTATGCCTATATAAGTCCATTGTCTAAACAATAATTTACAAGCTACTTAGTATTGATTCCCTCATGATGTATTCCATTGATGTGAATATTTATTTTATTAGTGATCTTTCTTTTAGAGACCCAGGTATGAGTATAAAAATGACTATTATAAATTACTATAGCTGTACCAAAGGTGAATATTAAAAAGAGCAGCCATTGTTATGTTAAAATACATAGAAATTTGCCACACTTCTTTAACGAAGTGTTTTATAAAAGTATAAAACTATAGAAGGTGCTATTTTCATGAAAGTTGTTTTCTGGATTCTTGAGTCAGACCAACAAGCATTACAAGCAGTGTAAGTGCCACTGGTTGCCAAAGACCTTTGAATTTTGATAGTGGGTTCCAGTGCTGAGAATCAGGGCCCTAAAAGAATTATTTATCCTCACATTAAATTACATAACTATTGAAGTAGCCTAACCACTGTGAAAAATAAGCTAACTTCATTTCACCTTTGTTAGCATACATAGTCTGAGAATATTTACAGACATAGAATTTGCAAGCTGATCTTGCACAAAAAAAAAATCAAGAATCTCTATAATAAAATATTAACTCTGCATATCTTAATTTTACATAGAAAACAGGTCATAGTTTATGAAAACTTAAATAATTGGATAAATAGAAAAAATGGAAAGGTAAAATTAATAAACAGACAACACACAATAAAATGTTGATTCTTTACCATACAAATTCAAATTGGAAAGTTCAGCAGTTGATTTAAAATCATGTTCATCTCTTTGAACTCAAGATTGGTTGGAGCCTAAAGTTTAAAGCATTTACAGATTTAAGGAATCACTTTCTTATAGTTACCACATCTTCAACAGTCCCAGGAAAGCTAGTCCTGGCATTCTACTTCTAGGCAAGGCAGGGAAGGAGGATAACAATGATGTCGTTCAACCACTCCTGATCTCTGTAAACTTCACCGATGCCTACCATTATCTTTAATTCATACAGATGAGACAGATTAAGCGAGAAAAATGAAAAGCAAAATTAGGTCAGGAAGTAAATATTAACCAAATCAGTGCAATCCATTCATGCCACCTTCCCAGACTAATCAGGATGGCGTGCTGTCTGCAGTGGTAGCCAACATTCACCACCATCTACTGCTCTTGACGCTGGTTAGGAGAGAAATCCCCTAAATTCTGCAGGGTAACTGCAGGGTTAGCAACGTCAAATTATCCGCGGGTATGAGAAATTACTCGTGTAGATAATTATTGAGCTAATCCCCGTGACAAGCCCTGAGGTGGCTCTGCCTGCAAATCCCAAGGGCTTGGTCAATGGCCTTGCTCACAAGTGCATTCCGATGTGGGATCCGCTTGGCAGCATTTTAGGGACTTGTCCAAGGCAACCACTTGATCCCTGGACTAAAATGTTTACGTGGAAATGAATAGCAAAGGGGGTAGTTTTGGAGAAATGGGAAAAGCAGCTTCAGTGAAAGTCATCCTCGTGAAAGGGATTTCTACTTAGCTCCATCTATTTGTTCTAGTTCCTTTCTAAGCAGAATTCTGTGACCAAATCACTTTCAATACAGCCAGATTGCCTGGTCGGAGTCCTTGACTGGATTGAAGCTGAACTTTGTCAGCCTGTAGGTGATGTCAAAGGCATTCTGGGAGTGTTCTCTTTCTCTCTTCCTGTGGACTCCACTACTCTACTCTCCTGCGACCTCACCAATGGAAATTTATGTTCTTCTGGCTTCACTACAGCAGGAACGAATGTCCTGAGAATCCCCTTATGTTTGTTCGAAAGAAAAAAAATCCAAACTCAAAACCTCCTCAGTGATGATGAGTCAGAATGGATGATAATATTTACCCCACTGTCATCATCCTTACATTTTATTTAAATTACAGTAGGAGGTGTGGCCCAGCAGAGGCAAGGGTTTTTGTGGCTGTGCTGGGTAACTAATATGTTGTATGTGCCTGAGATGTCATGGTTGTCAATCACAATGAAAGGTGTAAAAACATTAGGGGAGAAAGCAAGGGGGAAAAAAGCCAAAGTTGAGTTAGCGGTTAACTAGGCGGAAGAGAGGAAGGCTAAGACAATGCACACAGGGAGAAATCTGCAGAGAACCCGGGCAAGCAGGAGCTTGCTGTTCTCGAGTGCGAAAGAGTGCACATCCATAGAGCATGGAGGGTGAAGGGGGAGAGACGGTTGGCTTCTCAGCAGGCACTGCCTGGACTAGGCCTTTTCCACTGTCCTCCTGTGGACTTTCCCCTGCTTCCCTAGCAGGCTCTTAGTAGAGAGGTTATCCGTTCCGATGAAAAACACTTCACAGTTCTGACTCTTTGTCATGTTCATCCAGGTAGTATTCATCGTCTGTGGTTGTATCAGTGTCACAGTCTGAGTCCACGGTGTCATCTTCATAGATGTTGAGTGGCGTGCTTGGAAATAAGCCCTCTTCCGGCATGGGATTGTCAGGAGAATTAGAGCTTCCCGACTCTTCTGGGTTAGGAGGACTAACGAGAGAATCTTTCAGAAAGCCGGGGTTCTTAAGAAAACTTGGTTTCCATAGCCTTCCTTCTGTGAGTGACCTCTTCACGTTCTCCAAGAAGGCCAACTGCTGTTCTTTCCCAAAAATTCCATAATCAATAGGTCTGGATATAGAAGACGTGGGTCTGGAGTCTGCTCTAGTCCTGCCACTGTACAAAGGCCATGCCTCCTTGTCTTCACAGGAGGGAAACTCAGAAAAGGATTTGAATCTTCGACTATAGCCACTGTTGACAGATAATTCATTCCCAAGTGTCAGTCGTCCCAGGGCGTGGTCGATAGAAGTGTTTTCAGAAAAGTGGCGCTCCCTGCTTTTGGGAGGCTGACTCTGGCGTCGCAGGTCACCATGCAGATGGAGGTTTTTTAAACTCTTCGAACGATAGGCCTGTGGCTCAGGTTCCCACTCCGGAGACCCAGCGCTGATGCCCAGTTGCGGACAACTGGCCGGGGGACCGCGTGCAGAGTTCTGCGCATGCTCCAGGGGCAGAGACAGGGGCAGCGTCCGTCGGTGGTCTGCACAGCCTGTTTCCCGGAGGCTGGTGAAGGTGGCTTGATGGGTCAAAGTTTCTGACTCTGTTTCCCAATTCTGAGCTGCTGTTACATCTTTAGAATTCTCATACCTTGGCGCAGATTCGGAGATGTTTTCAAACTCGTTCTGATGAGGTTGTGAAATGCTGTCGGACTTTGTGTTGCTTAAGTGTGACGCCGCGTCTCTGCGGGGTGATATCTGGCCCTGGCCAGGGCTCGCGGAGTCCTCTGCATCCTTCCCGTCGTTGCTCAACCTGCTTTCACGTGTGGATTCTGTGGCCTTTGGAGAAGACTCGGGGGACAGCAGGCCGCTCTGTGATGTGCCAAGAGAGAACCCGCCGAAGCCAGAATGGTTCCCACTTGGGGGAAAGATAGTAGCGACGTGTCTCCTGGAATTTAAATCTTTAGCTGAAAATTTTCTGCTAGCTTTGGACATGGCCGCCAGCCTGTGTTTAACGGACGATCTGGTTTTCCCTTTTTCTAGGTCATCCAAGTCAATTTTATTTTTAGGACTTCCTCCAGGAAGTAAATGTTGACCCCAAGCCAACCTCCGCAGATCCTCCTCGGCCTGCCGGCTCCCTGTCATGTCCACCTCATGACCTCTTTGAGGTAGTTCTCTGGGTTCAGACTGCAAACTCTCTAAATCTGGCTCACCTGAATGAGCCTCATCAAGGTGCAGCTTCTGCAAAGCTAAAGTAAGAGCTAAGGTTTGGCTTTCCGAGTCACAAAGTGTTTTGGCTGTCATTTTTTGGAAATCTGCTCCAGGGTCCCCTCTGGCCTCCCCACACCACAGCCCACTGGCTCTGTCATGTATAGCTGTGCCCGTGACAGCTTTCTGAGGCCATGTCCCACTTCCAGCGTTTGTAGCTTTCCCACTACCTGCCCACCCCACAGTCCTTCTGAGCATTTGGGAATTTTCCATATCCTCCCTGGAATGGGCTGGAGGATGAGGACCACTGTTATCCAATTGAATTGATTGCTGGTGATTTTCAGTTTTCTCTACTGTTTCTGTTTTTCTCCAGAGCACCGAGGATAGATGCAGCATTTCACTCTGCATTTTTTTCCCTCTTGCTTTCCTGCTGTGTGAATCACCTAGAGTTTTAGCTACATTATGTGGGGAAATCTCTCTGGTTTTAGATCCTCCTTTGTGAAGAGAAGCATCTGCCCCGGTGGGAGCCAGTCCCAGAGATGTAGGTTCTGGGGAGTCGATACACGGAGACCCCGAGGCAGCCCTGCTGTCAGTGGCGGGGGGGAAATGGCCATTCTGAGCAGGGCTGACAGGTTCGGCTAGAGCCTCTGGTGATGGCGTTCTTGCCTGTGCTGGTGTAGAATAGTTTCCCTTGTCTTCTTCTAAAGTATCAGGATATGTTTCCATCCCCACTTTAGAGGATTCTGTAAGTGAATACTTTTGAAGCAAGTTGTAGATCTTCTTGCCTTGGTTCCTCGGTAGAGTATAATATATTGATACCATCTCAAAACATTTTACATTGTCTTCATCACCAGAAACAGAAAACATACTTGTCGTCCTCCACTTATGTACTGCTTCCCCGCTTTCTTCTCCTGATAGGTCTGAAGCAAAAGGTAAAGAGTCTTCCTTGGAAGGGGGACTGACACCTTTTCTGGAGGCAGCGATTTGACCACCCTTATCCTCAAAGTATTCCTTCTGCTGGACTCTTTTGGGAAGAGAATGACCCCTGCCAGATGAGACACTCTCCGGGGGGTTAGTGGTTCTCTCCCAAGGCCTTGGTGTAATGGCGGACGCGTAGGCAGATGAACCCAAACATTCTCTCTCACCTCTTCCCGCTGAGGTGCATGTCCCGGAGGGACAGGATGCAGCTCTCTGAATGAGGAACGGAAGTGGGCGTTTCCTGACAGAAGCAGATCCAGTGGTTTCCATCTCTGCCATGCTCTCTGGGGCTTCCGGGGCCACTGGGATTCGGTCCGAAACAACTTTGGATCTTTGGTTTTTTGACTCAGAAGAACGGGGACTAAATTTGTCTGGTGTGTACTTCTGTCTCGGATCTTCGACATTATCTCTGATTTGGAATGGAAGTGGCTCATTCCTCAGGGAAGATGTCATGACCTCACTTTCCGACTTCCTGCTATTGATGAAAAAACTGGCCGATTTCCTTGGTAATGTACAATAAGTTGTGTGAAAACTAGGAACCTTGGGATCACTTTGATTCCACTTACTCTGACTGCTGCTGTCGCGTGTGAGTGTTGTTCTACTTTCTGTTTTGCTTAGCTTTTCGATATAGGATATACGCTGTCTTACACTTCCTTCCCCCTTTCCATCCCTGAGTGAAAGATGTGACTGGTATTTGATAATATCTGCCACTTCATTCAGTACAGACACACAACTATCATTAGTCTTTTGGTTTTCTGAGGAGCTTGGAACGAACTGGCTAGTTAGGTTCCTGCTATCACTGTCTCTTTCTTCTCTTTCTCTCAGAGAAGGATCTGGGACTGAAAGACTTTTCCTGGACAGTACTAATGTAGGAGGAATAGTCAGAGTACTGAGGAAAGAATTATTCACCGGTGAGGAATCTGGTAGTGACTTTGACAGAGCTAAGGGAGCTGACTTGCTATAAGTGGTAGGACTTATGATACATTGTCCTTCCTTAGAGTCTAAAATAGAATGTCTTTCTGGATGCTCTAAGTTTTGATTATCAGTAGAGTCAGAGTTATTTTGAATAATCTCTTCATTATTTACTGTTATTTCCTGGTGACAACCCTGACTTGTGCTGGGGAAAGATGATGCTCTGCTTTCCCGAACGAGAAGAAAGGGATTTGCTGAACCAAGTTTTCTATTCCCAGTACTACTCAAATCTTTTTTAAATTTACTGATTTCCAACTTGTGTGGTGTATACATTTTGGAGTTGTCTCTCCTAGAACTGCCTCTGGGTGACCCTTTTGAATTGATGGTGGTAGATGCATTAAAAACAAACCTGTTGCTCTTGGCTGAGTCCTGGGAGAGAGGGCTTTGAGAATCAGTTGAGGGGCTGGGGCTGACTGTCTGTGAAATAGGTTGGAGTATTTCATTTGCCATGTTTGTCTGGTCCACCTCGTTTAGTTGTTTTTCTTTTTCCAAACTAGATTCATCCAACTCTTGGTCTTCTGTGACCAAGATACGGGGTTGGCTTTCAGTAAGCGATGGGCAGTCAGCTGGGCTGCTATTGGTGACCGTGACCTTTATACAGCCTTTCAGTGGAAGAGAGACAGGTTGATCGGGACTAGTTTTCTGCCAAGTGACGGTGGGGTTCTGAAAGCTGGGCCCCTGAGAATTCCTTTTGTCATCAGAAATCTGGGGGAGGAAACATTTGGAGGAAGATGCTAGAGATGGAGCTTTCCCAAATGAGTAAGGTTCTTTGTTTATCTGGTCTTCTGTCAAAGCACTGTCGTGCTGACACTCTATCCCATCAGACTTGATGGGATAGCTTGAACCAGCCAAGGAGCCAGCGTTTGGTGCACCAAAATGAAGGTGTGGCTGGTTCCCATGATCTTGTGACATCTCTATGTTCTCCGGTGTGGATGTCTGAGAATTGAACTGCCAAGGATGTGGCTCTTCTTGGTCTCTGGAGACATTTCTCCTATATCGATGAGACAAAGATCCCCAGTGTTGAGAAGGACCACGATAGCCGTGACCAGTGGGTGTGCTGTTTGTTTCAATGGAAGCCATTTCAGCATCTTCGTCAGAAGTGAATGGTTTCCTGAATTGATGTAAGTTTGACCACAAAGGACTCTGTCCAAACCCCTGTTCCCTGTTTTGCCCGAAAGTAGTGTTAAAGAAAGGCACAGCAAATGTGTTGCCTTGAGGGTAGAATGGCATATTCTCCGAGTTCTCAAATGGGTCAGAACACATTGCATGATCCATGGGAGCATTTAAATTACCTCTTTGATAAACACTCTGTGACCGGTAAAAATCATATTTTGTATTCTCCTGAACACATCTGGGATACGAATACTGGTCAGCAGGGTCCACTTCCATTGGTGAGGGAGCCGTTGGGAACTCTTCTTTGTTCTGCCTTTCTCTAGAAGAATCTGCTCTATTCCATATGATGGATGATAAAGGAATTCTCTTTGGGGTCTGCTGGTGGCTTGGTGCTATAAATCCATTCTTGTTCTGAGCTGCACCAGAAAAATGTAAGCTCCTTGCTGAGAAATGTCCTGTAGCTGGCAAGGCTGACCGTTGCCTGCTGTCAAGACACAGAGAAGTACTGCCAAAAGTATTCTTTTGCATATACTCTTTCAGGACTCTGGGCTCCCGTGTCCTGTACATATCATAAATTGTCCTTGTTCTAGGAGAAAAGGTTTTAAAACCCTCCCGAGGGGTTCCTGGTCTTAGGATGTCATAGATGGACATATTAGAAGTTTCATTATAACAATTTTTGTGCCTTCCTGTGATATGACCATGTCTGTTCCCAATGGAGTAAAAGTGATTGAACTGTGTTCTTGACCCATGGTGGAGCGGGGTCCTGGAAGTCACTGAGCTGGAAAATTGTTCCTGAGCCAACTTGCTATCCAAGTCATCTAAAACTAAAAAGAGAATACACATCACATATTAGATTTTTACATCTAGTACCAATTAGAGTTGTTGAAGTTCCTTTGTTATCATTTTAGTTTTATCATATTGTCATACATGTGATAACATTAGTTTTGATTATGTTTTTAAGTTAGTCTGACTTTTTACAAGGCCATTATGGAAGTTTATTTTTCATACTTTTGTAAATCATACTTTTTCAAAGTTAACCTTCCAGTTACTTTTTTTCTAACAATGATGGCTTTTTTTTTTTTAAGTGTATCTTTTGAGCCAATAGGTAGCTAAACAATTCCAACAGTGTTTTCTACAGGGGATTGTTCTAGAAATGAGACTTTATAAGTAATACATAATTTCTCAGTTGTACCCTTAAGAAAACAGCATTACCTTGAAAATCAGGCACCTTGTATATACACTGATGACTTGTTCAGACAGATTTCAGCAATATATACAATAGAAAGTTCTATATAATGTCATTAAATGTCATGTTAGTAGCAGGTTATATGGAAAAATGAAGACCCACTTACATTCCCCCAATATAACCTTTTCTATTGGTCAGACACAGTTCTAAGCTCTTAAGATATTAACTCATTGGGCCCTCCCTGGTGGCGCAGCGGGTTAAAGCACAGCACTGAGAATCTAAAGCCACTTCCACATAAGTTCGATTCCCGCCTGCCCCGGAGGTGACCACATGGTGTGGCAGACCTCTCCTGACCCACCCGCTGCTCCCCTCAGCAGTGTGCTTCATCCATCTGTCTGTTCTGCTCCCCACTCTGTCTCGGGTGAAGCCTCTCACCGCTCCTGAGCCTCTGGCCTGTACCCCAGTTCTGTATGCACAAATAAATAAATCTTTAAAAAAAAATATTAACTCATTAAGTATTGACATAAGCTTGTAAGGTTGGTAACATAACTATTCTCATCTAATCAATGACAAAACAGAGGCAGGAAGAGACTGAATAAGTCACCAAGGTCAAGAGCACACAGCTAGATGTGAGCTTCGCAGTCTGTCTCCTGAGTCCATGGCAACCTCTTTGCCATCCAGGTTCACCTTTTATTTTTGCATTAACAAACTCTAAAGAGCTCACCGTGAGCTCAACATGTTATAAGAAAGTGACGTTGCTGTTGTTAATCAGTGTTTACTTTACTCTCTGGAGTAAGAGCAGATGCTACTGTCCAAGGCAGGGGCCCGTGACTTCCTTGCAAGAGGAGGACCAAGGTCCAGCCAAGGTCCAGCCAAGGTCCAGGGCCATGTTCAGGAGAACTATGGAATGTGTAACCACAGGCATCACACAGGATGTTCTTAACTGGTGGGCATTTCTTTGAACGGTGGTCATTTAATCATATTTGACATCATTTTCTCGATAAAAACCTGTGAGAATCTAAACAGAACCAAAATCTTTTAAGGGTTTAAGATCCCTAAAGCCTCCCTTATTAATAGATACATTTCACCATATTCATGTTATAGTAAGTACAAGTAAATTATGTACTTTTAATTACAGATAAGTATGAAGTGTGTTTATATTGATGAAGTTTTGAGTTATAAAACTCTCCCATGTGAATTAAATAAAATAACCTTATTTTATTTATCACTGAAAATTTGACTTCAGTGATAGAGAAAGGGAAGCAGATTAGCATCTGAGTGAATTTTGTTATGGAAGGTGCTAAAGGGGATATTGATATCTGTTCTGGATTCCCCTACCATATTTAATTTAATGTTTAAGTACATGCTATTAAGTTTCAATAACTAGCAGAAAAAGTAATATCAGGCATGAAGGATGTGGAACTAAGGAATTCTTCAGAGAACCATCGTACCAATATTTCATTGAAAAATAAAACTTAATCTCCAGACTCTGAAATAATCTATTCCCTATCTATACAAATAAAATAATCAAGCAATGCCCAGCTATAAGGTAGGACAGAGAGAAAACTGTGTAATGAGTAAAGAGCTGTTTTTAAAGCAAATTATAATAAAAATCATTTTGATTTCTACTCTTCCTTTCAAGTTGTCCCTAGTTCTTTTTTCCTTAAATAAAATCTTCTGCTGATTACAAAAGGAGCTGATGTATGATTGTGGTGGAAAATACAGAAAGAAAAAAGAAACTCACCTGGAATCTTCCCCAGAGGTAACCCTTCTTGAGGTGCTCAGTGTATGCATGATCTTAAATTATTTGAAGTCATTTCCAGTTCCAGATTAACAATGCTGTTTACTCACTGCTCAGGAGGGCAACAAGTTTCTGGATCTGTTCTTCTGTTTCTTTTTGGAAAGGCCAAGTCATTTTCTTCATTTCATAAACAGGATCTGACCTCTACTAGCAAACGCTTTGTTTTGGAGCAGAGATTTTCCTGGGTGTCCATTCTCTGATCAGATGCTCCCCTGGGTGGCATGTCAGCTGGCTATCTCTCCCTGCCCAGCCCTCCTGTCCTATATGACAGGGCAAAGGTCACTGCTTATGCAAAATGAATTTTGTTCCCAAGGTGAAAATGGCAAATGAATTCCCGGTTACCTTTCAAATGGCCGGGCTTATTTTGCCACAGAATAACCACCATAAAGGTGAGCAATATGCTTCAGTTATAAGATCCATGTGGTACTTTTGGAATCAGAGTCAGTCTTTATTGTCAATCTGTTCTACAAAGTTAATTGTTTAACAATTTGATTTCATCATAGTAAAATGCAATCTTAATCGGTAACAATAAAAGTCTATTAAGAACAGTCAACTTCACTGATCTCTTACCTAAAGACGTATTTTCCTTTTTATCTGAGATTAAATATTAAGCATTATTACAATTCCATAAATTCATGAGGCGTCTGTCAAAATATTTGCATAGATAATCTTTAAATACAAGATTTGGGCCCTCCCTGATGGCACAATGGATGAAAGTACAGCACTGCAGAGCAATCCGAAGCAAAACTACCTGCAGCTGCTTCAGCAGCATTTGATCCCTGACCCTGGAGCTGACTCAATGGGTGCAGCAGACCTTTCCTGTCTCACCTGCTGCACCCCTCAGCAGTGTACTTCATCAATCTGCCTGTTCTGCTCCCCACTCGGTCTCTGGTGAATCCTCACAGCCCCTGCACCTGTGGCCTGTATTCCAGTTCTATACGCATAAATAAATAAATCTTTAAAAATACAGAATTTTTTAAGATTTGTGTTAATAGCTTATAAACACATCGTCTTCAGATAAGGTAAACAAGAAGACTTCAAGTACAGAAGTTAACATGTGTTGAGCATTTTAATATAAGTTGTAATTATTTTTCAACTTTTTTTTTTTTTAAAGATTTATTTATTTATTCATACAGGCCAGAGATGTGGAGGGTGAGAGGATTCACCAGAGACAGAGTGGGGAGCAGAACAGGCAGATCCACGAAGCACACTGCTGAGGGGAGCAGCGGGCGGGTCAGGAGAGGTCTGCCGCGCCATGTGGATCTCCTCCCAGGAAGCGGGGATCGAACTCATGAGGAGTTGGCTTAAGCTTCTTAGTGCAGTGCTTTAACCCGCTGCGCCACCAGGGAGGGCCCTCAACTTTTTTTTTAAGGCCAGGACTTGCAGAGACCATTTGATGTATAGACTTACCTTGGAAAAACTCATTCTCCAGCAGCGAAGCATCCCACCGAGACATGCTGCCTCCCTCCCTCATGTCTGTAGGTTTGGGGCCAAATGCTCCGCCGCCTGGGGGTGTTTCCAGAGGTGAGCTGTGTATTTTGGTCTGTTAATTTTAAAAGAGAAAACGCATTATTATTTCTGGATCTTATCCACCCGCATACTTGCATGTTCCCAATAAAAAAAGGTCCAAGTTTAAACGTCCTAACCCAGGACTACAAATTCATTTCCCCAACATTTACTCCTCAACTTGTGATGTGCTGCTGTTTTTGCAAGTGATCACAAACGTCTCCATTGCCTACATGAATTCCTGGAAGTCTCAGCCTTCAGGCAAGATATTGAGCCCCTCCTGCCAACACGTCCTATAAATTTTCACAGCAATACAAATTTTTGGGAGGTCCCAGGAAAATAGAAAAGAACCTCTTTTGACTTGGGAATGTCATCTCTAGAGTACCAGAGGCTGGGATTTCAGATTTCTCAGCCCTGCACCTAGTCTATCCAGAGCTGGTTAGCCAAAGCTTATAACAGGCCGTCAGATTTGTGAACTTGATGGATTCAGGGAAATAAAATCCCCTCCACAGATGTCTGTCTGGTAGAACCTTCCAGACAGCATAAGGAGCGGACCAGCAGTTCCAAAACAAAGGCCCTGAAAACAATGACCTTAGAAATGCTTTTTGAAAGCAGTTTGACAGGATTTAGGAGCCTGAACTAGAGCTAAAATTGTTTTTCTTTCTTTACTGGTAAGTGTTTATCTTTACTCCCTTAAGTCTGTCTGCCCTACTTTCAAGTTTTAAATTGTCTTCATAACCTACTCCCACATGTTCACTTTTGCCAAAACTCCATTTGCATCCTCTGTCAAACTGGTCTGTCACTCCTGATGCTACCCATCCTGCCCGGTCCCTGAGGAGCAGGAAGCTCGGTCTCTTTATTTTCAGCTCACCCGGCTACTCATGCTCCCCTTGTGAGCCCCTCTTTTCCTCAAGGCTCCCCTTTCCACTTGACATCCTCCAGTACATTTCATCTCACCTGTGGTTTTGGGTTCCATAGGAAAGCCATAACTGAATACACACAAAGGTGATTTATTGATAAGAAAGACACACTCCAAATGGTCATTTATCGGATTACATCATTGGATGCAATATAGAGTTCAGAAGGAAACACACCTTAGAACGAAAACCTAAATAAAGTGCGATGCCAATCAAAGGTGATGGAGCCAGAAACTGATCATCATAGCAATTCGTCAGGAATCTTAAAAGTTTATTCTCCCCAAACCTGAAGTTTGGTAGTTGGTAGTTCTTTATCAGTTGGAATCTGATAAAGAAGATAGTAAACATCACTGTCTTGCCACTATTTTAGCACCCAAACAACTTTCACATTCCTTCTATGTAGATGATAGAGTACTCCTATTGGCCTCCCGGATCTCTGCTTTGACAATGAAAATGTACAACGAAATGAAAAGCACATGAATTCCTTGAGCTGAGTGGAAGGCTGAAACCCCCCCACACACACACTGGGGAGGATTATTACCCCTGAAGACCCTGAGTATAACTTTCTGTGGTTGTATGTCTGCCCAGACCTTCTGCTTTAAGACCAACCCTACTCACCCATCCATGAAAGATGCTTCCAACACTTAGAAATGTAAGTTGTATGTATTTAACTTTGTATGCATGTATTTAGCTTTGCAAGAATTTTTACTCCAGTGATAAAGCTGTCAGACAAGTAAGTAGTAAGTTTCAGAGATAAAGGTAATATCCCTAGGGTAAATCATCCTGAAGTTGTCCATGTTCACAGCTAGGCTCCCTCTTCCCTCCCTCCCACAAGTTCCCCAGGAAACCAGGGATTCCCAGACAAATGAATCAGGACTCTGAAAATTGGCCAGCCTGCAAAGTAACTAAGAATGTCAAGTATCCAGAGTACCTGAAATGGTGTCAGCACCTAAAAGACTGAGTGATATTAATGGAATTGAGCTAATTTCAAGGCTGTTCTTTACCATGAGTTTATTTTCTAGTTCTGAACTTAAACACATTTTTCATACTTATACGTTACCAGCTATCTCTATTTGAGTAAAATGACTCATTTATTCATGCTCTAATGTACTTTTATAATAGCCTCTATTTTTTGACCCTTACAACAAATTTGTGAATTAGGTAGGGAATATCATCCCTATTTTTCAAGTGAGAAAACTGAGTCTTTTGTAAGTACCTTACTCAGGTCACATGAATACGAAATGGGTGTTGTTTACTCACACTACTAGGATCTAGTTCCTAACCTTTTCTCGCCACTATGCTGGTCTTTACTGTTATTTTACTAATGTAGAGATTTCAATTCTATGGTAAACTCACCAGAGACCTTGCTTTTAACAGTCTATGTCCTCTCTGCATACCATTCTGGATTGATTCACAAGGCACTGAGATAGAAAATTCTGGGTTGATTCACAAGGCACTGAGATAGAAAATCCCATCTATAAGATTTCTAGTAAAGGTTGTTACAGAAATTGAGACAACAAACATTTACAGTATTAGGATTCAGAAAAATATTTCTAAGGTAGGAAAGTATAATGGTTAAGCACATAAATTTTATGCAGGTTGAAATCTTGGCTCTGCCCCGCTGAGAGCTGTATAATGTGGGGCACATTAACCTTTCTGTACCTTCATTTCTTTCATGGTAAAGTGAAAATAATGGTGACGATATGTTGTTCATAGGGTTGCTGTAGGATTAAGTGAATTAATAGTTGTGACACCCTTGAGAATGGTATCTGGCTCTTAGCAAGCCCTGCAGTCAGCCGTTGCTATTCTGTGGCTCCAGAGAAGCTCCTGGAAGACTCCTGCTGTTTGTTGCTTGTAGCCTAATATGTCACAAAAGTGTCCCATGAGACTCGCACCCAGAGTTTCAAATTCTGGCCATCGGACCTCAGTCACATTCTCAGACATGAGCCCCAAATGAGGCCCCGCAAAATGGGGCCTTTTTCCAACTCCAGTTCATTCTGCTGCTGCAATTCTGACATGACTAGACAAACCAACCTCTGACACAGAGTGACCTTAGAATAATAGAGAACTTCCCAGGGCTGCCAAACCTGCAGAACAGCTGTCAGCGCTGAAACCTAAGCTGACTGATGGTATCAAATACCTTGGTAAAGTCAACAAATTAAATCTTCAAGACGTTCCTGCATTTGCATTGTGCCTGCGTCCCCACAAAGTTCAAGTCCTCCGGTGCATTGACTGCCTTCAACCACTCAATCATTTCTCCTGCCCAGTGCTGAGGGCTCAGGCTGTGTGGACAGCGGGGACTCGCAGCTGGGTGGACATGGCTGCGGCCGTGGGGAGTTCCCACTAGCCTGGTGACCCACGGGATGTCTCCAGGGACACAGAGCTGGCACGTCACCTAACAGCTGGCCTGGCAAGAATCGGTCCAGGAACAAGGACTGATGAGCGGCTGCGGCCATATTCTGTTCAGCCTCTTCCGAGATGGCCACGACTTTGGCTTGATTTCTCACCTACTAGGAGATGGCTCTCAACTGGGGGCATCAGCACATTGAGGGGAGATGAGCAGCTGAGGCAGGAAGGCTGTAAACACCTCATGACACGTGTCCCCCAAAACAGAGGAATTCAGCCCCAAATGTCAACAGTGTTGAGGCCAAGAAAAATGCTGAGCTAGATCATCTCAGTCTCTCTGTAGCTCAACAAATTCTGTTTTCTGAAACTTGATATTTCCCTGAAGGCCATGTAAATGTTTAAACAGCAGCTTCCCTCTCTTTTGAGTGCAAGGTCGTTCAATAAATTAGTGTAACCTTCTAAAAAGCCCCGGAACCCCCTTTGTACCACCCACCAAGCTGCCGACCAAATGCTAGGGTGTTCACCACCTCAAAAGTTGGCAGGAAGCCCTGTGCCCAACGTCTGACACTCCTGGCTGATAAGATAAAGGGGACGGCACTTTCATGGATAAATAATGGAAATTTTCATGTCTCACAAAACCCTTACTTTAGACATTATTTTCTCCATCTGACTTTTTATAATAGTTGTTAACTGGGAGCAGCAAACACTGGCTTGACTTTCATTTATTTTCTTAGCCCTTGCCTTTTCGATGGACTCCTCTGAGCAGTGAAGGGGTAAAATGCAAGCCACAATCAGGAAAAGGTATCTCTTAATCCTCAGGCCGAGCTTTCAAATCCCAGCAACTGCCAGCTTAGTCTGACTGTTTAGTCGTTTCTAGACATGAGTCTTTCCATTCCTCACCTGCTTCAGCACCCATGGCTCTCAAGTGAGACGGGGCGGGGGGTGGGGAGGTTACCTCTGGGTGCTGCTCGAAAGACAAGCAGGTACATCCCAGAACAAGGCTGGCTGTGTGTACTTGGGGTCTGTTAAAGGAGAGGCCGTAGGTGCTGAGAGCTCTTTTGCCATTGGGGGCTTTGCAACTGATGAGCCCTATTATGGAGTTACTGAGACCAGTGTTTCTAATCCCGATTCTACCATTTACTGAGGCGACTTTGAGCATAACCCTTAGGTTCTCTTGTTAGGGGGATACTCACAGGGCCTCGCTCACAGATTTCCTCTGGGATTTAAATGAAATGATCTATGGTAAGTGCTTGGATGGTAATAAATTCTCCTTTAGCATGTAGTTGTTGCTGGTGGTGGTCCATGGTTGGGACTCAAGCATGTATAGGGGAAAGAGAAGGTTGAGTGGTAACCCCCAAAAGGAGTGTGGCTCTGGTGAAGAAAGGGGGCTCACTTTTGTTTTTATGTGAAGGGCTTCCACTTTCATGCACTCTTCACTGGGATTCTACTCTCAGCATTTTGTAGAAAAAGAGAGGGGTGGAAGTACCAGCACATTGCAAAATGCCTCTTTCCTCCTCTTCCAGAACTTTCTTTCATCTCCCAGCCCCACGTGAACACAGAGAGGTGCAGGCATGTGTAGATCAAAAAAGAAACAGGAGAGTTAAAGCTTCTTGACCTTGTAAGTATGTAAACTTAACACAGAGATGTGGAGGTTTAAGCCCTCGGTGAAGGTCACGTTGGATGAGTTCCCTAGTGCCAATATGATCCAGTCAAATGCACCTCACTTCTCTGTTGCTTCCTCTTTGAGCAAAATGATCTAACCCAGAAAAGAAACAGCCCAGACCCATGATGTTTTAACGAAGTGGCAGTGGCCGCCTCTTGCATCTTGCTTGGCCCCAATTCTTGGGGGCTGCACCAGAGTGATGTGTGGTCAAATGTCAGATGTGCCCAGCTTGTGGAGGGCACATGGGGGTTCCTTCTTGGCAGAGCCCACAGGGTAAGCATGCCAGTGGTACAGACAGCTGGGGACCAGCTACACTGGGACACTTTGAACTTTCTAAGAGAAATCTAATTTTCTGAGGTAAATTGAGGGCTCTCCCTGGTGGCTCAAGGGGTTAAAGCACAGTACTATGAAGTTGTTCACAGCCACTACAACATGAGTTAGATCCCTTGCCAGGGAGTGACCCACAGCGGGCAGCAGACCTCGCCTGTCTCCCCGCAGCTCCCCTCAGCAGTGTGTTTCAGTTGATCTACCTGTCCTGCTCCCCACTCTGTCTCTGGTGTATACTCTCATCACCCACACCTCTGGCCTGTCCCCCAGCTCTTGTATGCATAAATAAATAAATCTTAAAAAAAAAAAATGAAAGCAAAGCCACTGTGACCAGTCACTTACCCTGGTGGCTCCCCTCACAGATGCAGGAGGTCCTGCCTGGTCCACACATCTGTGGAGAGAATTCAAAATAATTTCTTTGAAGATATGCTCAAGGTGTACTTGGAAGAAAAAAATCCACAGCTACTTGCTATCTTATCTTGGCACCTTGAGTAGGTAGAGTTCTAAGGCTCTGTGAGAAGACATTTCTGGGTGAATGGCTTATTAGGGGGGAAAAATGAGAAACCTTATGATTGCTGAGAACTGGGAAATAAGACTGACTAGTGGGTCACTGAGTGCGAAGGAAGCATGAAGGCACGAAGAGAGAGTAAGGTTTGAGGGGTGTTGGTATGTGCAAAGCAGGTTTCTTGGGTTTCCAAAACAATTTACTTCATTTTACTACATTGCTCCGGTGAAGGGAATCCTGTGTACACACACATATATGTATATACTATGTATTCTGGTCCCAAGGACCAGAGATAGAATTGCAAGAAGTTAGAAGACACTGCCAGAGGCACCAGTGAGCGGCTGAATCTAACATATTGGCTCTCGCTGTAAGTGGGACACAGATTTTCTGTTTCTACATATACATTTTTGTTTCAAAGAGCGAATAATTCAGGATCAGACTCGATACTTCATTAGGGGATGATTAAGAGAGCAGCCTTCATAAAGGCAGCTTCAGGATCTCTGTGTTTCTGAAGATGTCTTATGTATTCAAAAGCCTGCTTTTGCTTTTACTATGTGTGAGGTTTCCCTCAAGATGACTAAAATGACTACAAGATATGAATGCCCACAGGGGTCCAAGACCGAGGAAGGCTTTGGTCTTTAAATCTACAGCCCTGTGTCAAGGGTGCTCAAGGTTTCAACAGTACGTTGGCTCTGTTTCTGTGTGAATCGTCTCCCGCCCTCTACTTGGGGAACAGCCAAAGAAACTAAGACTCAGATCAGCCCCAAAGTGGTAAGAAGCAATTGCCTTTCATTCACACGCCTACTGCTTCACAGTTCATGAAAGCACAGTGTAAAACCCACAGCCAAACAATTTTATATGTCAAAAATCTCCATATGTATTTTATAGTTTGGCTCAAATTCTCAGCAGAAATTGAAATTAGTAAGTTGGCTTTCTTTCACCTTACTGTGAAATATCAGTGTTATACTATTACTATTTAGGAGTTAAATATTTTCTTATTTGTAAGTTTTTCCAGTTTCCTTCACCCTTTCTGTGGGGCATTCGGGAGCCTTAGGCCTCCCCCACTACGTATGAGGCGCTATTGTGAGTGCTTTGCAGGAAATCAGTATTTCTGAGCTGGGGCCCTGTTCACCCAGAGTTATTACAATCAGCATGATTGTAAAATTAGAAGCTAAGATGTGATAGTGACAGTTCAAACCCTGCCAAGATACACTGATATGCAGATTTTTTTTTCAATAACTACAGTTGACCTTTCACATCAGCAGCTTCTGCATCCACAGGTTCAAGCAACCAGCATCTGTGGATTCTGTACATAGGTGCTGGAAACCAATCTCACAAGACCAAGTGATGACTATAGTTAAATTTTGGGGGGTCAGACATTGTATGGATTTTTAACTGGGCCAGCACCCCTAACCTCCCCAGCTGATCAAAGGTCAACTACAAAACCTGCTGAAAACACCCAGTGGCCAGAGGTCGCCTCGTGGGGACAAACAGGGAATGTGACAAACAGGGTCCCCAGCGCGAGCGTGGAACATAGACCCTCGGCAAGAGGGTCATGGCTGGGCAGGGTGGATGCACACTCGCCCGAGGGTGTGTAGGGCTGTTTGCCACTGTGGTGTAGGTGGCAGGCATGCGACGCAATCATCCGGAGGCCCAGTGTTCCTGCACACACCCCCGGGGCCACCAACAAGGTCACGCACGTCTGTTTCTGGAGTGCAGTTGTCCACTTGGAGAGTGAACGAAACAGCCGCCTCATGGAAGCCGGGCTGCTACGTGTCCCCGGGACGACGCAAAGGTGCCCCCTCTTCTGCACTTGCTCACAGGCCCCCTGAGGCTGAGTGGTAGAGATCGCTGCCTGCACCCTACTTCTCCAACTCCACCCATTCTGCCTCAGAGGAAACTTTCAAAAACAGTCTCCTGGACTCCTCTGCATCCTTCATTCCAACAACAGACAGATCTGCCTAAAACAGAACTTTGATTGCATCAGTCTCCTGCTTAAAATCTCACAAGGTAAATGGGGGGGGGGGCCGGGGGAGTGCATGGGATTATGGCGATGGCACACAGGTGACTTGGTGATGGGAAACCCGCAGGGATTACAATGGAGATGGAAAAAAAAATGTACAAAATGCTGTAAAAATAAACTGCTATAAAATAAAAAATAAATAAATAAGTAAAATCAAGGTAAAAAAATCTCACAAGGTATCATCCAAACTCTTTTTTTAATAAAAAATTTTAAAATAATATAATAGTTTATTTTTACATTACTTTGTGCATTTTTCCTTCTCAGTGGTAATCCCCTTGGGTTTCCCATCACCAAATCACCCATGTGCCATCTCCATAGTCCAGTGTCATCCAAACTCTGAGCATGGCACGAGGCTCTCCTTTCATGTGCTGAGTTCCCCACGTGACTCCTCTCCTTTCAATCTTGTCTCCCACACTCCCCTGTGCAGGTACCTGAACTCTAGACTTACCAGATTTACTTCACCTCCCTAAAATGTGCTCTCCTGTTTCCATGCTTTATAGACACCACTCAGGAATTCTCCTTCAGTAGGTTAGAGTTTGACTCAAGTATATTATCCAAAAAAAATCTTTCTAACCAGAACTCAGGGCATGTCCCCAAGTGCTGGTGGAACATGCTGTCACCTCTGGGCATTGAACAGCTCCACCTGGAGGGCCATAGGCAATGTAGACCCTACACTTCAAAATGGATGCCATGTCCTCGCCCACGCCACTCCTGCTGGCAGCTCATCAGCTTCTCCTACGGACTCAAACCCAGACACCCAGCTCAGAGCCATCAGTGTCATCACCAGGCCTTTAGCTAGTCAGGCAATGGTCAGCCTTTGCCTGTACCCTTGCAGTAGCCCCACCTGGCCTTTCCCACATCCTGTCCCAACCACCCACTTCCATTAGCCAGAGGGGCTGGCATCAGGGGACCCTTGTCACTTCCGTTTACTGTTCAAGCGATTCCCATCAGCTCTCAGCTGAAAGTTCAAGTCCTTGTCTGTGTTCCTAGGCCCTATGTGATCCAGTCCCCACACACTGTCTGGGCCTCCGCGGTGTAGTCTGCGCACTGTCTAGCCCCATTCCACACGCACCTGCTGACATTCGTTCTGCGGTAGGGAGGCAGCCGCACCTGAGTCTGTGAACATGATTTTTCCTTTGCCTAAAGCATTTCCCACCAGCTGTTTGCCTGGATAACTGCTTCACCCTTGAAGAATCAGTCCTGTGCCTTTTCCTCCAGAAGACCTGTCCGCAGCCTTTGCTCGGCCCACCCAGCGCCCCGGGCTCGGCCATTTCCTTTACAACCCTCCCAGGACTAGAGCTTGGGAAGCCAGGGGCTGTGTTTTGCTTCTGGCTGCACCTGGCTCTCCTAGAGCAGTGTCAGCAGAACAGAAGCAAGCATCGTTTTCGTTTTCATTTTCACCATGTTGGCTGCTCCTCCTTTGCTGCTCCTAGTTAGCCGCGACCTACTAAGTCAGAGTGAGTGGTCACTCCCTACACCTTCTTCCTCGCCCAGCATGTCCACTTCCCAGCTTCCCATTCTAAACAGTGGCAACTCTGCTCCTTCGCCTCCTCACTGTCACTCGTCCGGCCAGTGAGGCGCCTCCTTCTAAGCCTCTGTGGCCCGGCCCCTCGGATGTGAGTCTTGTCCCCTCATGTCTGCTCTTCGTGCCGCCACTGCAGAGCTTCTGGCCTGGCAGCACCCGCACTGGTGACGTTCCAGGGGCCCCGGTGTCTGGCGACATCTCTGACCTTCATCCAGTAGACTCCAGCTGCGCTGTTCTTCAGGTGTGAGCACCAGAAACATCTCTAAAGGTGTTTTACCACTCTGTCTCTGGTGAATCCTCTCACCCCCTTGTACTTTTGGCCTACACCCCAGTTCTTGTGTGCATAATTAAGTCTTTTTTAAAAATTACTAGTGTTTCAATGGAATATAGCTCAGTTACCAAAATAAATAAATAAATAAACACCATGCCTTTTGTAGCAACATGGATGGAGCTGGAAAAGATCATGCTTAGTGAGATAAGCCAGAAAGAAAAGGAAAAATACTGGATGGTTTCACTCATAACAGGAGTATAAAAGACCAGGGCAGAAAATAATGATAATGATGATCAACCATATACCAGAGACATTTTGTGGGGTGGAGTGGGGGGAAGGAAATGCACTGAACTATGGTGATGGCACATGGGTGATTTGGTGATGGGAAGTCCTCAGGGATTACAACTGAGATGAAAAAATGCACAAAATGATGTACAAATAAACTATTATATTATTTAAAAAAAAAAAAAGTACTAGTGTTTGTCCAGGTTAGTGGGCTGAGAATAAACCAGGATGGGATGGGGTTGAGGGGGAGATTGTTCCTGGCTGAGAAGCACTGAGCAAAAGTGATCTTTCTCAAATACAACTCAAATTATGTCACCTCCCTGTTGAAAAACTATCAATGGAAGAAATATATACATATGCACATGAATGAAATACAAGTATTTGGGATCTCCCTGGTGGCACAGGGGTTAAAATCTCAGGCCATCGAACTATCAGCAGCCACTGTAACATGAGCTGGATCCCAGCCAGGGAGCTGACCCACAGGGTACAGCAGACCCTTCCTGTCTCTCCGCTGCTTCCCCTCAGCAGTGCATTTCAGTAGATCTGCCTGTTCTGGTCTCCACTCTATCTCTGGTGAATCTTCTCAACCCCTGCACCTCTGGCCTGTACCCCAGCTCTTGCATGCACAAATAAATAAATCTTTAAAAAGAAGTCCTAGTGTTTGTCCAGGTTAGTGGGCAGAGAGTGATATGTGTACATAGTATATAGTATGTGATGGATATGTTACACATACACATATAGGAATATACATGACACAATATAGAAACACACTAGTCTGTAATATATATATGTAGTACACATGTAACGTATATAATAAACAGGAAAAGGAGGTCTGGCTGGCACAAGGATGAAGGGATTCCTGGCGGCCGCAGTATCTAGCACTGTGTGGATTCCATCTTCTCCCTCTTACCTCTCCCTCCTGGTCTGATTAGTCTCGCTGCACGCAGGCCAATGAGCCACCCTGACCTAGAGAACTTCCTGCTGTCTCCAGGCTGCACCTTTGCTGTGTCCATCTTTCTGCCTGGTGCAGCCCTTGGACTCTCCACTGCCCAGTTCAGTCCTATGCGTCTGAGAAGCCTCTGGACACCCCCGCGTGAGCTCTGTGCTTGTCCTGCCATCTGGGGTGGGAGCGCCATGCAGCCGCCACGTGGCGTCCCCCAGGTGGCTGCCAGGCCAGGTGGCATCCCTGTGTAGGTCCTAAAGGACCTCAAGACCCCCTACTGACATTTGCCAGAAAAGTGCCTTAGAGAGCACGTGAGCCAAGGGTGGTTGTGATGGCTTCTCCCTGGAACTCTCTGGTAGCCTCCCGCTGGCAGGAGCTTTGCTGTATTCTTATGATTTTATCTCCAGCACTAAGCACAACACTTGATGTGGAGTAGGGCTTTGCAAAAGCTGGATAAATAAGTGAAAGGGAGGCAATCACCTGGCCACCTGCAGTGATGGCCTCCACCGGAGGGAAGCAGGAATGAGCATCCGGGTGTCCTGGGGACCTGGAGATAAATGAGTGGGGTCCCCAGAGCCCTCCTCTAGGCCTCCTGAATTAGAAACTCAAGTTTGGGGCCTCATCAGTGGTCGTTTTCCAAGAACTGCTGACGAGATTCTTAGGATCAAGCAGATCCAAGAGATTCCCCAGCTTCTCCCATCGGCCCCCTCAGGCTGCTGTAACTCGAAGCAGGAGAAGAGAGCACAGGAGGAGTTTGAAAGGAGGAAGGGAGAGGAGAGAGAGCAGGAGGAGGAAAGGAGCCAGGAACAGAGAGAAGAGGTGGGAGGCAGGAGAGAGAGGAGAGGGGAGAGGAGAGAGAGGAAAGGAGAGAAGAGAGAACACAATTAGTAGCCTGAGAAAAACAGGCGGAATCCGCCTTCTCACTTCCCCAACGTCTGACCTTTCTGCCCACATCCTGCATCTGCAGTCAGAGTGGCCCAGCTGCGCACACCCGCGGGTCAGGCAGATCAGGGCATGTCCAGAGCAGCTGGGTGGCTCCAGCCAAGCTCCCTGCAGCTGGTGAGCTTTTCGCCATAAAGGAGCAGGGCAGTGGCCGCACAGGGCCGGCAGAGTCGTCCCTCTCCCCCCACCTGCAGGAGAGCGCTGCCCACGTGGCCAGCTCCACTAGCAAATGAAAGCCCGAGCCTCCCAGGACTGACACCTCCTCGCTCCGGGCTCTGAACCAGTTCCTGTACTTTCACTTTCACGTCCCAGCCCTGGGAGCACCGGCAGGGGCAGAGGAGGGCGGCCAACCCATGTCCCTGCGGCCCCTGAGTGAGCGGAGGCACAAGGCTGCACAGCTCTGAGAGAGGCTGGGCCTCAGTGAGGGCAAATGCGCCCTCCAGGGAGACTTCCTTGGGGGGCATGTGGGCATGGCCGAATGGCCAGATCCTGTCCCTTGGGGAAGGCTAGCCAGGCCTGGAAGCTAGTTAGCTGCACTCTTGGGGGGGGAGGTCTGTTGGGGTGCACCTTGTTGTAGAGGAAGCTGACTAAGTTATGGCCATGCTGGGGGAGGAGGGGCTGAACGCTGCATGTCACAGGCACGAGATGTCCGCAAACAAGACAAAGGAAACATGACTTACAGGGAAATGGGGAAAGATGAGGCAGTGTGTGTATGCTTTTCTTGAAGGCACTCACTAGCGATAAACACATTGAAACAGAAGCAGGAAATATTTTCCTGGGTTATGCTGGGGTCACAGAGGATACAGTTCAGTCATTTACAAATAGATTGAAATAATAATGGGATCTTGCAGGCAGTGTGGGAGCTTGGGGGAGCAGCTATCTGGAACAGAATTGGCAAGGTTTTCATTCATTCGTGAAGTCACTGCCTTCCTATGGTTTTTACTCCCAGATAATAGGAAATCAGAGCTTCAACATCTCCCACAAGCTTATGGGCTGGGCCTGGGAAGGAACAAATGTGCCCAGCGAAGTGACTGTCATTTTCAGTTAAACTTTAGCTTCAAGGAGGAAGAGAAATTTCTCCCATACGCAAGTCTTTTAGTGCTCCGAGAGCTGGTCTTCTGCTCACAAGGGTTGTTTTCCTGCTGTGATTGACAATGCAGGCTGCACACTGCTCTGCTGACCTGTCCAGGTCAGTGTGTGACCACGTGTGCTCTGTGCAAGTAGGAGCCTGACAGCAGCTGACAGTGAGGAGCACCCTGGGGCCCTCGCCCAAGCCTCCCTTCCCCAGGGCGAGGAGGAGTTTCCTAATCACATAGCATTTTCCAAGAGATTTTACATTTCAAAAGAGCAGAACTGCCAAAAGAAAGATAGAGTGGACTTAAAAGCCAAGAGCCAGCCCTCCCGTTTGCACACAATTCCTATTCTGACCACAGCACACTCCTTGAAAAACAACCTCCCTATCACACACAGGATTAAAGTCCATCTCAATAGTTAGGCCACACTTGTACTTAAAAATAAAAAGGACGTATTTTACATTTTATCTTCTGAAACCACATACGAGAACAAAAAAGACATACTTCCTAGCTCAATGAGTAAACATATATTCTCACCTTTTGAAAATGGACTTAAAAGCAACAAATTCTGAAAATGGCTACACACATAATATACAGAGAGAGACTTATGAAATCTGTTTCATTTCCAAATGTGGTAGAGCCTCGGACCAGCTGGGTCTATCTATGTTGCTACACAGAATTTTCTAAGAGTTTCAGAATTTTAAAGTTGATCTCTAATCCACATCCCCCAGGAGTTCTAGGTCGTTATTTTCTTTGGTCTGCTTTGGCAGTAGCATGCGCTCTGGCTTGGTGATAAACTGCCCATACTGTTAACAGGCGCCTTAAGCTTTTTCTGCTTTCCCAGTGTTAGCTGGTTCAGCCCGATACAACTGTGCCTTAAAGAAAGTCACAAAAAACACAAATCACATCACAAATCCCAGCTACACCACACTTTAGGAATAGTTCTGTTCTCCTTCAAAGAAAGATTTCCTATAAAGGAAATACTCCTCCACTGAAAATCCCCAGAAGAGAAAATGACTAGAATTTCAAAGATTTTTTTTTTTTTAAATTTCAAACATTGTTAGGAAGAAAAGCAACTCACCTACTTTGAAGAGAGTCTGCTTGCAAGAGACTCAGGGAGAAAGCCACACAAATCTACATTTTGTTCAATTCTTGGTCATTTCATCAAAGACAAAAACAGCCTCTCTGGGTGGAAACTGGAAGCAAAAATCTCCCCTCTGCTGGAGAGGAGAGATCAGGTCTGGGTTCTCAGGGTCAGGGGGCGTCATCAATGCCCCACCAGCTATTGTTTCTGGGGGACAGTGACTTCCAAAACGTCCTGCTTAGCGCCCCGTGCACTCTGAATGGGTTGCTAGTGCTCACACATCACGTGGCAGGCAACACCTTAAAAGGGTGGGAAGCTTTTCAACCAGGAAGACAAGCCCAAAGTATTTAGTCGTCAGCTCAATTGCTAGTAAGCAAAGCTTTGCTTATTTTGTGCACAACAGTCTCCCGGCACAGTGAGTCAGGGTGAACTGATTTACAGAGGGAGCAGGGAACCACCTGAAACTGTCTTCCTTACTCCAAAAGCTTCCCCTCACTTCACTTTAAGTTTAAATTCTGGGCAACCAGATTAGAAAGGCTGCCCGCATGATTTTTGGAACCGGGCTTCCTTTTTTTCCTACTTTAAAAATTATCTCGACCCTTTTGCTGGGGCCATTTACTCCTCTTCAGTCTCTACCCACCTCTTCTCGTGACCACAGACACAAACTCCCAAGAAAGGAGAGTTTTGATCTGACGATGTCTCCCTGGCCAGGCACAGACCAGCTCTCCGAGAGGTAAAGAAACAGTCAATAATCGTTTCCCAACATTTAACCCATCACTCTCCAACAGCACTGGCGGGAACCCACAGTAGCAGCTGGTTAGAAGCTGGATTTCAGGTGAGCCCAGTTTCCAGTTTTCAAAAGCACTTTGTCATCACTCAAGCTAAATCCTGTTTCCTTTGTCACTAAGTAAATTTAGATTCTAAGAACAAACATTAAAACATTCTGATACAAAGCAGGCTGCTGGCCTCTGGATCAGGTAACAAAAGAGCAATGAGCTGAGCTGAATTTCACTCACCCTTTCGGGGCCAGGGAGTGAGGCTCCTTTCGGGATTTCCTGAATGAGAACAGGGAAGCAAATGAGGATCTGAAGCTCAGTCTAGAGGCAACCGAGGTTGGGGTTCTCTGATTTGGTAAATGTTGAGATCTTGAGGTCTGATCTAGAAGATTATAAAAAGTTGGCATCGTTTAAATATTTCCAGCGAAATAGATGTCAGAAACCAACTTCTCCCCCTTGTCCCCATGCAGCCTAAAATGCAACAACTCCCCCCCCTGCCCCCCCCCACGAAGGCCTCAGGGAATCAGAGACCCCATGATCTAACCGAGCAGTCCTATAGAAGAGAAGGGAGCTTTCAGTGTATACCCCCCTCCGCAGTTGTGAAGAAAGTGGCCCCTCATGCTAACTGTGTGAATATCTCAGTGTCTCCCCTGCTGTTCTGGGGTATCATTTAATAGAGTTAATTAAAACTTAAGTCTGTGCACTTTGCTTAGCTGAATGATGCCAGGAGACACACAACAGATGATAAAGGGAAAATGCCAGAGTTGCCTTGGGGACCTCGCCTTGGGTGCAATGGCTTACCTCCACCCCCCAGCCTCCAACCCCCACCCTGTGGAGAATTCCCAGGAGTGAGGAGACTGGCAAACAGACCCAGGCTCGACACCTCCTGTGTGGAAGGCCCACAGGAACCTGAGGCCCAGCAGATAGCTACAGCATAGACTGATGCCCCCAGTCATGAAAAAGTCCACACACAAAAAAAACAGGTTATAAAGGGGAGGCCCGGTGCAGACATCTCCTATCTCACCTCTGTTCCCTGACATGAGATTTCAATAATCAACTTTTTCTGTCTGGTGAATGAAGGGTTGACTGTGCCCATGTTCAGTACTTATACATATAATTCCACTCAATGCCTCCTCTGGGGTAGGCATTAGACCCATATAGAGAAGAGGACATGAGTCTCCTAGAGACTATGTGACTTGAACAGGGTCACAGCAATTCTGGGAGACAGCGACACATTCACAGACCGGGTGGAGGGCTGATTTCAGGCTCTCTGGACAGCCTTGTCTGCGTTTTAGCCACCCTGCTACTGCCTGACTCAAAAAGCACACTCCCCAGACATTCCTGCAGGGCAGTTTAGTTCACACTTTTTTTTCTTTTTAAGTTTTATTTATGCATATAAAAGCTGGGGTGCAGGCCAGAGAGGTGTGTGTGGGGGTGGTGGTGAGCGAACTCACCAGAGACAGAGTGGTGGGTGGGGGGAGCAGAACAGGCAGATCCACTGATATCCACTGTTGAGGGGAGCAGTGAGCAAGACAGGAGAGGTCTGCTGCACCCTGTGGGTCACTCCCTGCCTGGGGATTGAACTTGTACTACTGTGGTTGGCGACAGCTTCATAGTGCTGAGACTAGACCCTTTGTACCACCAGGGAGGCCCAGTTAGCTCACACTTTCTACTGTGTATTGTACCCTAAACCTTTGACCTTCTGGTTTTCAAAATAGGAATGCCTCACAAATATACCTGCCACCCTTTGTAGGATGTATGAATCTAAGCTAAGGTGAGCACACCTGAGGCTTTCAAAAGAGCCCTAACACGTGTGGGCCACACCACAGAGCCACTGAGTGGTCCTGTACCATCGTGTGCTGGGAGAGAAAACACTCAGGGGCATCTTTTTCTCTCACCTTTTTCTGCCATCCCTTTCCTTAGCCTGTATGTTAGCGGTAGCTTTAACATTTGGCTGACGTCTGTTTCGTTGCAGAACTTTTTTCTTTGAATTTCTTCAAACCATTCACCGGTCACTCCTTGAAGCCATCTGACATCTCTTTTTGTCTTCTGGAGTTTGCTGAAAGACAAAAATGTCAATGCATTAAGTTTCTTTGCATTAAGAGCGAATTTAAGGAATGAGTTAAACTTGACTTTGTGAAGAAGCTGTGTAGACAATAAGTCTGAGAGGAAACTGGACAGAGCCAGAATTTCTTTTGCTCTGCTGTACCATTTCTATTTGCGCTGACAGGAAGACAACCTAAAAGTTTTTGCTAGAGTTGAACTACTCATCAAGTAGATGAGGATGAGGTGCTAAAACCTGACCTAATGATGCAATTAAGTGATAGACGTTTTAATGACATGGAGAAACTAGAACATTCTAATTCTGATTACTCATCCATTCATTTATTCATGGATTAAGTGTTTATTGAACAATATTGTTACTGGGTGTAGGCAATGGGGATTCAACAGTGGGTATAACAGAAAGGGCTCTTACCTGCCCAGGTAGTGGTAAAAGATAAAAGGTGACATACAGGGGGCCCTCCCTGGTGGTGGAGCGAGGTAAAGCACAGCCCTAAGAAGCAAAAGCCACTTGCACATGAGTTCGATCCCTGCCCCAGAGGTGACCCACATGGTGCGGCAGACCTCTCCTGACCCACCCGCTGCTCCCCTCAGCAGTGGACCTCAGCGATCTGCCTGTTCTGCTCTCCAGACTGTCTCTGGTGAATCCTCTCACGGCCCCTGCACCCTGCACCTCTGGCCTGTACCCCAGTTCGGTATGCACAAATAAATAAATCTTAAAAAAAAAAAAAAGGCTATATCCAGGAAAGAAAACATTCAATATAATGACCTTAGAGAACAGAATTCTTGCCACACGGAAGCCCAGAACGAACATAGGGCTAATGCCTAGAAAGACAAGAAAGACCCCCAGAGTTCAGAATGCCAGGTCTGAAATTCAACCACTGCTTTTTTCTTCTCCCCTGTCCTTTCCGGCATGGTCCTCATTCAAATGCTGCAGTTAAAATCATTGGCAGCAGTGATTTTTTTTTTCTTTTTACAAAAGCAGATAATTTTGTTCTACTTCAGGAGCACTCTAAAACTGGCAATAACAAGGGCTTAATCTAGAGTGCTTGAGTCCCTGGAATGAGGCAAAAAGAACAGAGGAGAGTTTGAAGAACACGAGGACAAATTTCATAAAGGGAGCTTGTGGCATGGTATTGATGGAAATGCCAAACTTGCTGCTTCGATCTTGGGGAGCCCTGCTGCTTGGGAAAGAGTTTCATGGGCCTCTACAGTGACTGCCCAAGGTCCCCTGTGAAGTCTGTTAGGGAACTTTGAAAGGAGATACGTGGTGAGCCAGACAGCTGCAGAGTGGCACATTTGGGGTTAAAGGCAATGAACTGGAATGGTTGCAACTGGAGCTCCTGCTTGGGGCCACGATACTGTCATTTTATAAAATAATTGAGAAGGAAGCCAGAGGCCATCCTGCCCAGACTTGCATTTAGAAAAGCATCAGGCAGCCATTGGTTCAACCAGCCCACGCAATTAGCGTGGGTGCTCTGCGTCTGGCCACTGCCGCCCCCTCCCACCTGGTACCTTGTTTCCTTGCTATTCTCTTTTCTTTTCTTTTTTTTGTTTAAAATTTTATTTATTTATTTTTGCATAGAGTTGGGGTACAGGCCAGAGGTGCAAGGTGTGAGAGGATTCGCCAGAGATAGAGTAGGGAGCAGAGCAGGCAGATTGTCTGAAATACACTGCTGAGGGGAGCAGCGGGGAGACAGGAGAGGTCTGGTGGGACAGCCTGGCTGGGATCGATCTCAGGCCTTGGTGGTGGTAGTGTTGAGACATAATCCCTAGGCCACCAGGGAGGCCCTGTTTTCCTTTCTGCTTCTAAACAGAACCCACTGATTCCAATCTAATAACACCCCACTTATTAATGCCCACTTTGTACACGGCCTCCACTTGCTCAGACAGCAAATGACAGAATCCCAATATTCAGCACCATCCCCTCTTCAACTCTCAACACATCCCTCACTTGAAATGAAGGCAAGGCAGCCTTGGGAACCTAATACATAAAACTTTTCTTCCTCATGAAGGCTTGATGTACCGTGGACTCTTCATAATAATCACACTAATTCCACCTGAGCTCACAGGCCACTCACACACGCAGCCATCACTGCCGACTTCCCCAGCCAGCGAGGTCAGAAATTTGTCCCTGTGCATGAATACTCATAAATCTGAATTTCAAGTCAGGAAATAGATCTTAAAGATGTACACTAACCCCCCACAACACCCAGCATTTACTTTAACTAAATTTTGTGGAGTTGCTAAAAATATTTGGAAGGGCACTGTTGTGTGGGGGAGACACAGATGAAGCATAAAGCAGAGAAAACAAAATGTAACATTTTATCGATGATTATGAGCTCTGTAAAGCTGATCCACCCATTTGGAAAAAATAAAAAACAACCGGTCTGTCAGAATAATGAAGGGTTATGGGTTTAACTTTTATTTTTAGCCTTTTTTAATGCTTATTCAGTAAGTATAAAGTGCTATTTTTCTTTTTGGCCAATTGTGAATTATTTATATTGATTTTTAAAAGATTTTCTTGGAGATAGGGGAAAACAATCCATTGTATTTTCACAACCACTACTGTCCTTTTGATGTGTTCTTTTTCCTTCTGTATTTTTGTAACAGGGTGGTCCCTAGGAAAAGGGGAAGTTCCAGGTGCCCTGCCCCACCCAGAAGGAGGGTGGAACTGAGCAGAGAAAAAGGAGAGAAGAGAAGGAAACAGGATGGAGAAGGAGGAGACCTGAGGAAGCCACATGGAGCAGCGAGCATGCGATGAGGAAACCAGACTTGTTTCCTGGCCCTGGACTGGTGAAGGCAGATGTGGGGGAGAGACCTATAGGGAGGTGACTGTGGCAGTGTTTATATTC